CAGAGTGTAACCCTTCACGTGGGATGGCCTCTCAAAGTCCCTTCTTGCACCAGAGAAAAATACTAATCCACCACCAGAGGCTCCCTGGAGTGCAGAGGCCTCCTTATGGACATTCCCCTTCAGGGGTCTGGATCAGTCTTGTACTGGCCTCCCTGACAGCATCTGGGGTTAATGTGCTCTCCCTTTTTCAGGTCAACTGTTCCTGTGGGTTTCTCCAACCTGGTACAGACCCCTTCGTGGATGTCAGTCTCTGCTTCCTTCAGCCACTGGGTGAGGGCTCTAGGATGGCATAAAGAGAAGTCATCAATCTCATTTTAGGGGAAGGGCTTTTGGGTTATCCTCTCCACATTGCCTGGATTGTCAGATCATGTCATCCTTGTAGGTCTCTGGAGATCTCCCTGGTTCCAGATCTCTTCTCAGACCTATAGTGGCTCCCTCTGATATGGTATCTCTCATCCTGCTCTCTTTCCTCTATTCTTCCCCCAACTCAATGTTTCTGCCCCTCCATTTCCTCTTCTCTTCTCCTCTTCTCTTGCTCTTATTGTAGCAGCTCATTCCCCCCACTACCCTCATGCCCCCAATTAGTTCGGGAGTTCATGCCACTTCCAATGGCAGGGACTATTTATCCCTTAGAGTCCTTCATGTTTCCTAGTTTCTTTGGTGAAGAGGATTATAGGCTGGTAATCCTTTGCTCTATGTCTAAAATTCATATATCAGTGAGTACATACCATGTTTGTCTTTTTGTGACTGGGTTACCTCACTCAGGATGAGTACAGGTTTTTAAAGTATGTCCTTAGGGTTGTCTGGATTTCCTCTATGTCTGTTCTTATGACCCCTTTTCATTTCAAATTTTATTAGTTGGATGTCATCTCTCTGCCTTCTAGTTCATTTGGATTAGAGTTTGTCAATATTATTGATTTTCTTAAATTTCTTTTAATTGACTTAAGCCCTGACTTTGATTAATCAATTTCTTGTCTTCTACCCCTTTTGAGTTTTACTTCTTCTGTTTGTTCTGTAGCTTTCAGGGAGTGCTGATAAGTTACTAGTATGAAATCGCTCCAGTTTTTTATGTATTCACATAGCGCTATGAACTTGTTTCTTACAACTGCCTACAGCTTATGATTTTTCTCAAAGAACAAACTCTTTGTTTCATTGATTCTTTGTATTGTTTTGTTTGTTTTTCTTTCATTGATTTCAGCCCCAAGTTTGAATATTTCTCATTGTCTACGATTTTTGGGGTGTGATTTCATCTTTTTGTACTAGAGGAGTGTTTCTCAACCTCCCTAATGCTTAAATACAGTTCCTCATGCTGTAGTGACCCCCAACCATAAAATTATTTTTGTTGCTACTACATAACTGTAAATTTGCTACTGTTATGAATTGTAATATAAGTATCTGTTTTTTCCGATGGGTCTTGGGTTGTTTGACCCCCAGGTTAAGGACCACTCTTCTGGAGCTTTCAGTTGTACTGTTATTAGTATGAGGTTTCTCCAGTGTTTGTTTTCTTTTTCTTTAATATAGGTACTTAGTGCTATGAACTTGCCTCTTAGAACTGCCTTCATTGTTTACCATAAGTTTGGATATGTTATGTCTTAACTTTCATTCAGTTTTAGGAAGTGTTTCATTTCTTTCTTAATTTCTGTCTTGACCCATTTTTCATACAGCAGTGAGTTAATTCAGATTTCATGAATTTGTAAGTTTTATGTTGTTGAAGATATCCGGTTTTAATACATGGTAGTAAGATAGGCTGTAGGTTGTTATTTTATTTTATTGTCTATTGAGATTTGCTTTGTGTCCAGGTATGTGGTCAGTTTTGGTGACAGTTCCACAAAGGTGCTAAGAAGAAAGTATACTCTTTTTGTGTTAGATGAACTGTCCTGTAATAAATATCTGTTAGATCAATGGTTTTATAGCATCAATTAGCTCCATCATTTCTCCGTTTTGTTTTTGTTTGTCTGTTTGTCTGCCATGTCTGTCTGTTGGTCAGGGTGGGTATTGTAGTATCCCTCTCTCAGTGTGTGAGAATTAATATATGAGTTAAGCTTTAGTAGTTTCTTTTATGAACCTGAGTACCCTTGTGTTTGGTGTATAGATGTTAAGGTTTACAATGTTCCCTTGGTGGATTTTTCCTGTGGTACGTATGTAGTATCCTTTCTTATCTTTCCTGATTAGCTTTGGTGTAAAATCTGTTTTATCAGCTATCTAAATGGTTACACCAGCTTGCTTCTTAAGTCCATTGCTTACAATACCCTTTTCTATCTTTTAACCTGAGATGATGTCTATCCTTGATGTAAGGTTTGTTTATTGAATGTAGTAGAAGAATGAATCTGTTTTCCCACCTGTTTGTCTGTGCCTTATTATTGAGGAATTTAAACCATTGATGTTGAGAGATATCAATGAGCAGTATTGGTTGATTCTTGTTATTTTATTGTAGTTGTTTTGGTGTGTGTGTGTGTGTGTATGTGTGTGTGTGTGTGTGTGTGTGTGTGTGTGTGTGTGTGTGTGTTTACTTTCTTGATTTACTAGCCTGGGATTATTTATTCCTTGTGTTTTCTTGGGTGTAGTTGACCTCTTTAGGTTTGAATTTTCCTTCTAGTGCCTTCTGTAGAGTTGGATTTGTAGATATATATTGCTTAA